GATAATAAATAATAAATTATGAACCAACACGAATATAATATAAGTTACTATTTTTTAGGTAGTACTTCGTCGGAATCTGTCTCAATGTAAGTTGGATCTTGGTGTTCATCCCCTTCTTCCTGTGTTTATATTTACAAAAAAAGTTTTTTTTTATTGTTATAAAATATAAATCAAATTGGTGATCCATTTTTTGGAATTGAAGAAATTGAAAATATGCTTTTTATTTTTTATTTTTTGAATTTATTACACGAAAATCCTGATTGGTGACACTGTGAATCGAGGAATTACACAGTAATTACCCGAAAATCCGAAATCACACGAAATTTCCCCTAGCGGGAAAATTTGTGTAATTCCTGGATCTTTGGCAATTACTAATACTAATATTAATAATATGGTGACTGAGTTTGAATGTTGAACTTAGAACAATCTTTACACAGCACATAAGACAGATTTTGATGCCTGTTTTAATTTTGTTTTTTATTTTTATCACTTTTAAATCTTCAAAGAATTCTGAATTCTTTTATTGATAAATCGATCACTAGAATTTCGTAATGATGAAGTTGTTCTTTTAAACAATGCAATTTCGTTTTTCAGTTTCCATCCTTATCAATTAATCAAAACTTAATGTTGAAAGAACAAATTGTTTGTTACACACCATTCAAAGATAATGTAACTGTTCTTCTCCACATTCATTAAAAAAAGTCAAAGTTTTCTTTATATAATGTCATATAATAAATTGTTATCATCGTTACCACTAGAAAGGAAGGAATTTGTATATAAAATTCATAATGAAATTTATAGTAATGCTAATGTTAATTATTCTGATAGAGAAAGTAGAAAAGAATTTTTTTTTTTATTAGTCAACAAAAACAAGGAGCTTTCTGAAAATGAAAATGAATATTGTAAGGAAAGGTTTTGAATTAAATAGTGCAAAAAATAAATTGGGAAAACCAAAAAGAATGTAACAAGTGTAAATTAACAAGATAATCTGATAGGTTCTGTGAAGGTTGTATTAGTTTACAATTACAGAGTCTTTTCACCACTTGGACATCTAGAAATAACATAGTTGACAACTTTATTTAACAGTGTCAAATGAAATCTTCTCTACCAGAGAATATTTTAGAATGGATACCTTTTGAGCAGTTTGATGATATAACAAAGTTAACAGAAGGTGGATTTAGTTTAATTTATACTGCTAAAGGGACAAAAGGAAATATTATTGATTATGATGAAAATAAAACAGAATTTAGTTATTATGGAAGGCTGAATGTAGTATTAAAAAATTTAAATGATTCAAGTAATCCAGGAAAAAGCTTTGGTGAGGTTAGTAGTTAGAACAATAAAAAAACTGACATTGAATTGTGTAACGAATATCTTGACTTTTTAATAACTCCATAACGATTTTTGGAAAATTTCTGAGATGATCACCATCACCGTTTAAAAAAACAATAAAACCGGCCTAACTGAAGAATGTCCCAAAAAGTAAATCAGAGTTTCACAGGAATGAACTGATTTCTTTAAGTATAGTATTAAGAATAGGACATGGACATGATATGACAATATGACAATGATATGAAAATGATATGATGTAGACAATGATAATGAAATTATCATTTGGATAAAATAATTTTTGGGAACAATTTTTTTACTTTTGTTGGGTGTTTGATTTAAAAAAAAGAATCAAAAATTTGATTGAAATTTGGTTCCTTTGATCCCTTGTAGATCAAATCAAATTGAAATTTTCTTTGTGATTGATTTAATTAAATAAATGTCAGTTACTTTTTGTTAATATATAAAGTATAAAGTATAAAGTAAAATTGCTACAAAATTTTATGAATTTTTGTAGAATTTGTTTAGTTTAGAACTAAGAAAAATTCAGGATTTAATTTTTATTATTTGTTTGAAAATTTCAGAAAGAAAAGAGAAAAACAGCCTTTGATTATCATAATTGAAGCAACATAGCAAAACTGTCATTTTTAATTTTTTTGGTGTACCATTTTGATTTTACCTAATACTAATGCAGATGGTTTAGATTACTGTAGCAAGTTTTTTAATTGTAAATAATTGATTGGTTTAGATTGGTAACTAATTAGTAAAAATGTTTTTTTATATCTTGCACAAAAACTAGTCTTGTCAGTGTGTACTCTTGAATTAAAAAAAAAATTATTATTATATTTGTATTTTTAATTTAAATTGTGCACAAAAAAATCAAAAAAACTAAACATATTATATTTTTTGAATTTTCATTCTTTTGCTCATTTGTGCATGTGTTTCCCAAAACTTCATCTAATGGTGTTAATTGCCTTCTTTAATTTATGAAATAACCCATCATTACCTTCCAAGAGACTTTGTTACTTCTAGGAAACCATCCACAAACATTTTTTGCAATTACATTACACTAACTATGCTAATTTGAATAATTATAGTGTATATACTCATGTGTGGACATGGTTATCACAATCATTGTCTACAAAGGTGCCAATCTAAATGCTTGATATCTTGGACTATCTTCAAGTCAAAATAAAAACACACTAAAAAAAGTATGATGAAAAGATTAAACGAAAATGATTTTATCGAAAATAATGAAAATACAATTGATGATGATCTGGGCAATCATATATCTTAAATTTGTTGTGTTTACAATCATTTCATTGACATTCATTATATTAAGGTTATTTTGATTATATCAAGAGATATGGTCAAGAGAAGAGTTAGGAAGAGAGTTATTATCCGACCAA